GTGAAACTGACTGCCAGCTTGACTCATTGATGTAGTGCAGCCTTTCTTTCCCAAGCTGTGGGAATTACTTTTGCTTGCCAGCTACATTTCTGCTGAAATCTCAGGTGAGCAAAAATGCATGAAACTGGCATTTTTTTCTAATTTCCTATTGGTTTGAACGCACCTTAACAAAAATTCATGAATAATCTCCAGGTTTCGTTCTGGAGACTAAAGGCCTGATCTCACATGTAAGCACGTCTTTTAAATGTTTTGTTAATTCTGGACTGAAAGGTATATTTTGACTGTAGTTAAGCAGTCAGAGGACTTTTAAAAGAAAAATGAGCAGAATTAAAAGCAGACAGCTAACTAAATAACGTGAAAGTAAAATAAGCGAGGGGTGGAATTACAACCATAATACCTCTCTGGTTTTTTTAGACATTTTAGGAGGCTATTCTAGCCAGAACAAACAATGTTCAACTTACTATTTTTTTTTCCATTAATGGAGCTCCATGGTTACCCACATAGGTTATGTACTTTTGCTGTCATTTTCTATATTGTGAACTAGCATTTTCACATTCCATCTCAAAATGTAAATAAAAATATTTTTGACATACATTTAATTGTCTAATATCCTAATATTGTAGGTACATGTTGAATTAATGTTTTCAAGTTTGATTATATTGTATTTGTGAGCCCAAGTATCCTGCAGAATACAAAATCCAAACAAAAGGTTTTTGAGCTGAAGTCCATAAAAGTTGTGATAGATTTGGTTACGATTAGTTGACTGTAATGTGATAAAACATAAATATGCTAATAAACTATCTTACTTATTGTTCATAACACGTCTGTCAGGACAAAGTTATGACTGAACCAGTATTTTTTTATGAATAGAAATGCTTTTTGGTGACAGCTGTTGTCTAATATACAACATTTCTCCATCAAATTTTGTCGTCAATGATTTTGCTTTAATTATATGTGATAGATTATTTTTTCTAAGGAAGAAAAAAGAAAAAACCAAAAGCTTTTGAAATTGTGAAACAATGATAATCCACGTGACCCATTGTCAGTTTACAGATTGATTGCACGCAGCATTTATTGGTGACATTAGCTTTGAGCGATAGCTGCCAAATTACAACAATATGTTAGAGTGTTGGTGCTTTGGTTTACATTGTCTTAACAATTGGTAGATGTCACCGTTTGCGTAACATTGAAAGCCGCTCATTGTTGGGTTCTTGATGAATGGAGCTGATAATCATAACTTTGTGTTAATGTTCGTGTCAGGATCACAGTGAAAGAGAGTCGAACTCAGTTCAGGGGGAAAACAGATCATTGTACAGCTTTTAAAACCATTGTGTTTTGTGTCAAATGGCTTGGCAGCTCTAATTTTGTTTAATTTCTTTGTGAATTGTATTTTTTCTGCAGTTTTATTGTTGATTTAGTTTAAACATTCTTTTTATTTATCCTCACTTTTTACATAGATGATGGCTATTGTGATAAATCTGTATTGATATATTTTAATGAAACCACAAAAGATTCAGTGCTTTTTAAAATATTTGTGTCTGGAAGCAGTTAAATCCCCTTCTGGCATGAAACCCACTGAGCATGAAGTAGCTTACTTACTGTCTGGCTGTTAATCCAGCTGTTTGTTTGTTCTTTATATTGTAACCTTGAGAACACTGAGGATAAACAGCCAATTAACAGCATAAAATCAACTACCTACCATTTGTTTCATGAGTTTATCTGCTCTGAGAAAGGTTTTCATTGAACTAACATTAATTAAGTTATACAAGCAAATGCAATTAATTCTATCTTCTACTTAAATGTTGAAATTGCTTACGGTTATTTTTTCATTTCATATCATGCTAAACGTTGTTTTTTTTTCCAACTCATTTTTATTCCAACTGAATACAAGGGATTCCATTTTCATTTCTTAGAAAATGAGCAGAGGATGCAAAGTGTGCTGATGTTTAGTGGACATTTTATAAAACTTTTATTTCCTCTAAGATGATGCAACATATTACAGTCCATATCTTTCTGGAATTCCTGTAGTTTTTAACTTTCAGGGCTATATATTATTATTGTAGCTTTCCAAAATATCAACTTTAACATAAGTTTGTGGTAACTTTCCAGAACTTACCAGGTACTTAAACAAATTACTCTGTACTTTCCTAACACTAACATTTTTATTTACCAAGTATTTTTCTTGAAACCTAAAGTTGCTTTACCATAACTTTCAAGTTTCTTTTCTTTTTTTTTTTTTTGCCTGATAAAGTTTACCATTACTTACCAGGTACTTTCCTGATAAGGTAACAACTGAAACACTAGTCCTCAACACATGTTTAGGGTCAGGCTCAGGCATAAAAGCAATTGTTTATTAAAGGTAACTGTATCATAATTTACTAGGTGCCTTCATGAAACTTTAAGGTTACTGTATTATAACTTAATGGGTTTTTTTCCCCTTACATTTACCAGTTATTTAAGTGTTTAGTTTTACAAGAAAGTTTTTCTGACAGTACAATCGTTGCATGCAGCTAAAGCTGAATGTTCTCACACTGTGCAACCCGAAGCTCTGATGCGACCTTTCGACGGCCGACTGAATTTCAAACATGTTTGATTTTCTCCCGAACTTATGATTCCCGATCAGGAGGTAGTCGTTAGAGGCTAATCGCCCCGTCATTACCCATGTATACTACATGGTGCACAACACACGATAAGGTAGAAACTTGGCTCGATCGAGAAATTCACGCAGGACTGGAAAAACGGCCCGAAAAAGACACAAAAATTTGTAAAGTGTGTGCCCAGCTTAACGCATAGATTACAAATTACTTTTCTATTCGTTTAAATTTTTTTGTCCAGACTCTGAAATGTTATTGTTCCAAAACTGACCAGGTGCTTCTCTGGAACATACATGGATTTTAGTGGTAAAATCCCATAAGTTCCGTCTTATTTCTCCCTTAAAAGACCTTAAATCTCAAATGGTCGGCACTTATGATGTTATATGCTTTTCTAGTACTGCCTCTACACCAACTAAAGTTTGGGGCAACCTTGCTTGCTAGCTCAGTCTCATAATAGCAGCTTGTTAATATTTCCACCTCACCATGCTCCTATATCCCTTGCACTGGTTTTCAGATACTGAATCTGATAAGCTAATTTAATGGATATTGACATTGGGAGGCAATGAGAGTGCTAGAGGCAAAAACAAACCAAAACAGAGACTCTCCCCGGGCTGTCTCTGTTTAGTTCAATGAACACCTAACAGCCAGAGACTCTGTCTGACCAGCTAAGACTATTGTACTACTACAACCGGTCATCCGCTTTAGTCATGATAGGAACAACAAAAAGGACATACCGGTACTACTACAATCCAGATTTTTCTTGTTCTTAAGCCTTTTTAGGTGCGTGTTTACATGGGGTAACTGCTGTTTGTACTGTTGAGTATGATACAAATTATTAAAACCAAAGTCAAATTCCTTGTATTTGCACAAGGAACTTGGCAAGTAAAGCTAATTCTGATCAGTAATATTTCAAATTCACTGATTTTATTCCCTTAGAACATATGGTGTTTCAGAAACACTCAGCAGGTAGACATGCATAATGTTCTACTTTCTGAGTACAGGACAACTGCAGCACATGCTGAGGTTGTTTCTGCAACTATTTATTTTCTCTCCATTTTATTTTTCTATTCATTCCTTCATTTCATTTGTGATAATATTAGTGATAATACATGGATGTTTGAATCTGTGTTAATAATCGGTAAAAATACGTAAAAATACACATGGCAAACTTCACTATATGTTTTAACAACCCTAATGCCTGAAGAACAATAAACAATCTGAATGTAGCTTTTTTGTAATCTCAATTTTCTTTTTTTTTTCTTTTTTGAGTAGATTAAACCTTTGGTTAATATTTCAGCAAAATATACCACACAGGAAGATTACTTACAATGTCATAACTGAAGTACTTTTTGTTGTTTACAGTTAAATCATAAGGAGCTGACAGAGAAATCCTTTTTACACTGACTGTACGCCACAAGCTGCACGTAGGTTTAATAGACCCGGCTGAGTAGTCTGCTCATTAATGCTGAAACCCTTTAAGGGAATTTACTGCCCTTTTGCCCAGTAATAATAATAAACACACATCTGTTTCTGTGACCCTGAGGGGACAGTGGAGAGGAATGATTGCGGGAGCATGAACTTCCTGTCTTCATAGATGAGAAAATGCATGTAATGTAAATAAAGTAACTGCAATGTTAGCTTTAAAACAAGACACTGAATGGTGCTAGAATCTCTGGGGTTTTACTTTTTTCTGGTGCGAGCAAGATTCTTGTCACAGAGACTGGGCTGGACCGACCCGTGTTGCTGCACACCTAAGAACATTTCTCAATCAAGATGACTCGCATGTATTTAAGGAGGCATTATCTCTCTTGGCCAGATGATTGTCCCTGATGGTATTTCAGCCAAAGACCTAAACCAGGAATATCTTTCTTGTTGAAATGTGGCTTCTAGGGACTGTTATTGTCCCAGAGAACCAATGAACCTCAGTTTGCATCTGATCTTCAGATACAAACGTACCAACGCCCTCAGATCTCACATTGTCCTGGACCTCTGGGATAGAGCATTCAAAGTCCGCTGAACCAAACCCCTACAGATCCACGCTGCCTCCCTGTCATCAGTTGTCATCAACCAACTGCTTCCTGATGAGGATGCTTTCTCCCCTCAGACCAACCAAAAAGTTCAACTGACTTCCTGCAGTTCTCCGCTTCCAGATGTTTGTAGCTTTGTAAATAAAACATTAAAACTCACTGGCTCTCTGGGTGATTCTGTATGCGAGTCCAAAAAAACTGCAACCAGCATAACAGATGGATGCTACCACTATATCTGGTAGAATCCACCATGTTTACCCCAATTTTGTCTATCGTTTTTTTTTATTAGAGAAAAAAAATATTTTCTTCATTTTGTTATTAAAAAAGCTTTTGCTCAATATGCTGATTTTTAATAAATGTATTTGTTCTTCTCCTTTAGAGACATGTGGATGAGCCTCACACTCTCACTTGTAGCTGCCTTGGCGCTGGGAACAGAGGTGAGTTTAGCTAAACATATTGCTAAAAAATTGGATTACAGTTGAGAGATCTTAGTGGATATTCTTCAGTGAAATATGTTATGTTAGAAGTAAATCACAAAATTTAATAAAAAATTTAACCAGCAGAGGGTTTAATCTGAAGTTACAGAAAAAGAAAAGTGAAACTGAGGAACGTGCTAGTTCAATTTGCTTAAATGTAGACAGTAGTTTTGTATGGCCTGATGGTTCTTATATGCATGACTGACAATGGGGCATGCTTCCCATGAGATGAACAATGACGTCCAGAGGGGTCTCCCTCCATAAAACCAACAAACCCAAACAATTTGAGTCTCAACCTAAAGGTGTTTAAAAAACCTTCTCTGAAGTCAGGCCAGGCAAACAGTGTAGAACAGAATCAGAGGTCCAGGAGTTCAAAGGTCTTTCAGGCAAACCGTTCAGATGAGAACAGGCAGGCTCAGTGGTTGCAAAGCAGAACAGGTCAGGATCAGGGAATCAAAAACGACAAGTAACCCTAAAAACACTCCTACCACTGGCTAGTGAGAACAAGAATAATCTGGCCCTGATGACTGGATGCAAACACCTTAAATAGAGGCTGGAGCAGGTGGATCAGATGAGCCATGATGAGAAACCAGGCAGAGTTAGACAAGTGAATGGAGTTAGTAATAAAGCCAGTCATCAGAACCAAGATCATGACAGTGTTTTTTGCTATACTACCCAGGTTTCCCTTCCTCAGGAAGAAGCCTCACTTGATACGACTGAGAACCCAACAGAGGCGAATTTCGAAGCCAATGACGTAGCGTTCAGGTATGGAAATGCCAGACGGGACATCTTGGCAGCCCAGTTTGAATGCTACCTGAAGATAATTCACGAGCCTCTTCGAACAGATGAAGGTGAGGAACAGAGGAAATCACCATTTAGGCACTTTACACACTTGATAATTTTCTTTGGTGAAAGAGAAATGTGTGAGAGACATCTAACTGAAAAATCTACTAGCCCTGTTTAGGTGAAACTAGGTTTAGATATCTACAGTTAAAATGGCAAATTATGATAAAAGATGGGTTGGACTTTATGTATTTAAAGGAATAGAAAGGCTGTTTAAAGGTTTTCAACTAATATCTTTCCTTCTCTAAGTTCGACTCCAGACTGGTTAGACACAACGAGTGAAGCAAAAGGAAATCCAGGGCCTGTCCAAGCCGAAGTCTGACGGTTTAAAAGAGAGGCTGATGATAATTTACAGTGTGCAGGAAGTGGTATACCACCTGCAATCTTTTGTGAAACATGTCCAAGATCACAACATACATTCTAATTTTGATTAAGCAACACGGTTTTAAAACCTAAGGCTTCTAAATAAAGATGTCAGGACAGTTCTCTATGAAGCTTATGTATTAAATGCTTACATCCTTCTATCAGAACCTGAGGTCTAAAGTTCAGAACCCACCCTTTACTTTGAAGGTGTTGAAACCTTGTTACCTTAGATACGGAACTTATGAATATAGATTTTGAAGATGAATATTTAGGATATAGAAAATACCATCTCTGTGAGTATTATATTGCTTGTATTGGATTAAAGGAATACAAAGGTTGTTTTTCTTGGTTATTTTTAATTTGGAAAAGTTCCAGTATGAATATTTAGAGATGTGAGGCTTATTCAAATCTAGGTTCCCATACAGTCCAAGAAGGAATGCATGTTGGTAGGTAATGGACCTAAATATGAACAAATAGCAAATAGATTGCACATTTATTGAACTTTTGATATTGATTCCATCTCATTCTGATCATCTAATAAACCATCAGATGACAGTGAGACTCGAGGAACTGTAAGATATGAGTTAAGTCTTACACTGTGTCACGTCTGTGACTGCATATTGTAAACTAGAACAAGGATCTTTTTATGATTTGAAAAAATCTGCAAGACCATAAACAGAGGGAATAATTATTATCTAAAGGCAGATGATTAACAGGGAAACTGGATTGTAGTGTACAGAGAGCAAAAAAGAGAAACAGGCTGATGAAACAAGATATAGACACCAAATATAGTATAAAATGGACCAAACCAAACTGAAAAACACATCAATAATAGAAAAAAAAGTAGGCTAAAGAGTCTCATGGTTTCCTCCACCACTGGAAAAATAAACCCAGAACTTTCTCCACATTGTTCCCCATAACGAGTGAATAAAATGGCAGGGAAACATGTCAGAGTTAGGATCATGGTTTGCCTCCATTTATTATGGCCATGATTCATAGTAATGTTTTCCACAGAAGTAGTGGCTTTTTTATGCGGTAAATTAACTAGATGGGAGGGAAAGCAGCAAATGACCAGAGAGGGTCAAACCAAGGACAGACATGCTGAGGACCAACAGCCTGGTAAGACAGGAACCAGCTATTCCTACTAAGCTACTATCACAACAATTGTGGCAATAGATTAGACATACAGACTCTAGAATATAGCATAGCTCATACACTGCCACTTATATTTAATCAAGAATCAATATCTTTTGGCTCTTTTTATTCCTTATCCACATGCTGTAGTTTCTGGCCGATATCTGATCTCTCTTCTTATAGAAACTGGTAGCGTTCTGTACCAGTTGGTGCAGAAACAATTATCATGTGAACTAATCAAAGGTGGCTGTTATTGAGTGCTGGAAAAACCAATGATAAAAACTACATCATGAGAGAAGAAGTAAAGGTGGTGATTGTAACAAATTCTATATTACTTGTGAAATATATGCCTACATTTCCTGCAGTATCTGCTGCAGAAGAAGAATGTATGATCAAGTTCGATGTGCTAGTTCATAACTGGCACCAGTTATTCTCCACCAAGCAGCCAACTCACCTGTCAGTGTACTACAGAGAGTGGCCGTGATGCTACACGTCCTCATGACGCGCTGCTCAGTCGCTTGATGTCCATTTAAATTGGTCAGACATGAGGACTTCCTTTTTCCGAACAGTTTATAGCGTTACACTTATGGCTCCTTAAAAAATCCAGCTCTGCTTTTACTGTATGTGTCTACTGGAAACTTTGAGTCGGCCTGGAGTACATGAAGGCATCCTCCTTTTGAGATAGCTACAGTATACAGTATGCAACCCTTTAAGATGCAGGGCTGTTGCGATACATCTTTTAAGCCGGGCTTACACTCTGCAATTTTTTTTCCGTTGTGTGATAATTTTCCGATTGGGCTGATCGTGCATCGTGCAGTGTACAGGGAGAAACGAGGGGCAATCAGCCTCCCACGACCATCTCCCGATCGGGAATTGTGAGGTTGGGAGATTTTCAGTCGACCGTGGAGGGCAAATCGTGGGTGTGCGCAAACAAGGATTCTTCTTCTTCTTAAGCAAAAAACACAGAAGCATGGCGGGGGTGAGAGTGACATGGGTTTTTTTCTGTAAAATTGACAGTCCGTAGTAGCCACGTTTGCTCAGCCATGTCTTTGCCCGAATACATGGCCGCCTTTTCTTCTTAGGGCTTTCAGCACACAAATGAGAGACGAGTCCGAGTGGTGTCTTCTCACTTCAGCTAAGTCCTACATGGTTTTTATACATGCAGTTTGAGCAGGTAGATTGCATCAGAGCTTCATGCTGCACAGTGTGAGAACATACATGGTGAGCTGTGAACTCACACTGTACGAGGAAACACTGCAGTTTCCTCGTACAGTGTGAGCTGTAGCTGCGTGCAACGATTGAAAATATTGCTCAGTGTATGCCCGGCTTTAGACAGCCCTCTTTGGGTGATTTGACTGTTTTTCCACCATTTCTTTTGTGTTATGTATCATTTAACTTTTTTAAATTAGCTTTTTGTGAATGCTGTTTTATTTGATTTAAATTGAATGTGCAGTAGAACAAAGAAATCCATCTACATCTTTTTTTAGCAAACAGCTGAATGCTTTTATTCGAAACAGATAAATATAAAGAAATGTTTATGATTGACTGTAGGTATGCTGTAATTTGATGTTTGATGTTTTTGTGCCAAATCGAGGCCAAAAACCTGATAATACTTTCATTCGACCATAGGACATTCCTCTACAACATATTAGCAATAACACAAATACATATAATCAGTAGAATAGTCACTTACAGGGTGTGTGTAAGCTTCATATAGCTGTGAGGCAACAATGTTAACCTTCAGATTAATAATGCATCCCTCAATACGACCATGCATTTATTTTTATTAAGCTCTTACATGTCGTATGCATACCTTACTTATCACCCTGCCAACATCTTAAAGTATAAAGTGGAGAAGAAAACAACAATGAGAGCCTGGATGGAAGCTTGCCTTGAAGGAAAGGAAATTTGCCTTTTGTCTCTTTCCCAGTGTTCATTACTTCCATCCATTGCTTTAGAGATGTTGTTTTGTGCAGCTTTTCCAAACGTGCCTCTGTGTGAATTAGTGCTGGCCGGTTTCCGTCCATTGTTGACAACTTTTGTGTGGGTGAGTTTTTGGTGAGACACATTTTATTTAAATCTAACAGCCCATTGTTACAGAGTGTTTATATCACTATTGCTTTTTATTTTTTATAATCACTGCCTTTTATTCATATTTGGTTTGATAATCCAAAGTAAAACCACAATATTTCTATTAGTTTTAGATGGTGAGAAAAAGGAAACTCCTGACAGGAACTCGGTTGTGAACCAAAAGCATACTATTGTGATTAAACACTACTAAACCACTGTACTTGGTTGTTTTATAACAACGATAAATCAGTTATATTTAATATGCTAGTTTGAATTACACTGGTTGTGTACAGTTAAATACAGTTCAAGCCCAAGCCTCCGTGGGGCCCTAAGCACAGATTGATTTTGGGGCCCTTTATTTCTGCAATGACATCTTTTGCTGCAATCAACATTTTGATGATCTGATCATTCACACGCCTATTATAAACTCACTGCAGCTCTGGTAGTGCTGTTTACAGTCTCCTATTTGTAACACTAAATTATAACATTTAAATAAAATGTGTTTTAAAATAATGTTTTTATTATCTCTGTCTTTAAGTTTTTTTTCTTTTTACAATCTTATTTGTAGCTGTCTGAAATACTGCAATGCACTTTATTCAGGCATTAGCCAACAAGCGCTACTGTCTGCAGTTAGTCCAAAACATAGCCGCTGGTCTTTTAATGGGGATCAGAAAACGTCAACACATTACACCACTTCTTGCGTCTCTGCATTGACTCCCTGGTCGTTTTAGAATCGTTTTTAAGATTTTATTGTTTGTGTTTAGAGCTTTGAATGAGATGGCTCCTCCATACATTAACAACGTCCTCCAGACTTACTCTCTGGCACATGCTTTGAGGGCCATCTTCAGCTATCAGTGCATTAGACAAGGCTCAAAACCAAAGGGGACTACTTTTCTGTAGTTGGCCCAAGACTTTGGAATAGTTTGCCCCTCTATAAACAAACAGCTTCCACAGTGGAGCGATTTAAGTCTCATCTTATGACCCACTTTTACTCTTTGGCTTTTAAAGCTGCATAATAGTGTGGTCCTCTGGGTCCTTTTTATTGATTTATTTTTGTATTTTTTTTATTTTTTTTTTGTACAGCACATTGGAAACATTTTTTGTTGTTAAATGTGCTATATAAATAAAATGGATTGGATTAAACTTTGCTACTAAAAGTGATAAAATAAACCAGTGTACAGTTTATTTACAGTAAAAGTGACATTTGGTGTATACTTTCAGGTTAAACAATGTGCAAAAATGACTGTATTGCAAGGAAAAAAAACAAGTAAATGAAAAACGGTTTGGTTAAAATAAAATATAAGGGCTGCAACTAACGATTATCTTGCCAACTGATTAATATGTCAATTAATCTTTTTTGATGAATCAACTGATAATCGTATATCAAAAGGTTTGTTAAAGAAGATTTTTCACAGAATCAAACCAGGTGAAACAAAAAATT